GCACTGAGGGGCTGCATTGGGGAGGGATTTGGGGTGCGCAGGGGGAGGGGCAGGGTTTGGGGGTGCTCGGCACTGAGGGGCTGCATTGGGGAGGGATTTGGGGTGCGCAGGGGGAGGGGCAGGGTTTGGGGGTGCTCGGCACTGGTGGGCTGCACTGGGGAGGGATTTGGGGTACACAGGACTTGGGGGGACTGCAGAGGGGCAGCAGGCGCCTGGGAAGGGCTTTAGAAGGTGCTCTGGAATTTGGGGGTGCAGAGGAAGGGGTGCTGGGGAGGGATTTTAGGGGCACACAGGAGCAGTTCATTGGAGGACAGGGGCTCCTAGGGCAGAATTTGGGGATGCCCCAGGGTTGGCATTATGTGGGGGGTCCGCATTGGGGTGGGGCATAATTTAGGGGTGCTCCTCTGGCGGCTGCATTTGGGGGAAGGGCTCTAGGGAGCAGCAGAATAGTTTGAGGGGTGCTGCTTGCCAACGAAGTGAGAGGGTTTGGGAGGGAGAAGGGGGGTGCCTGGTAATTTGGAGGGGCTGTTTCCTTGCAGGGAAATTCAGGGGGCCCTGTTAATTTGGGGGACTATATGCCCAGGAGATTTGGGGAACTGGGGGGGTTCCCCTTAAATATGAGGGCTCACCTGTGGATTTGAGAGGGCTGCATTGGAATTGGGGGGTGCCCCTAAAGGGGGAGTCCCCACTACCCCCCCAGAGCCATGTCGTCTTTCGGGGACTCCAACGAGTGGTACATGGGGTCGCTGAGCCGCCAGCAGGCCGTGGCCTGTCTCCAGGGTCACCGACCCGGCACCTTCCTGGTGAGGGACAGCTCCACCTGCCCCGGCGACTACGTCCTCTCGGTCAGCGAGAACGCCAAGGTAGAGAGGGGGAACTGGCCCCGCACCCACTGGGGGGGGAAGGCATCTGGGGATGGCAGGAGAGGAAGGGACAAAATGGGGGGCAGGAGGGGCATTACTGGGGGAAACCATGGGTTTGGGGGGAGAAAATCATCCCTAAATCCAGGAAGAACCCAGGAGTCCGGGGGGGAGAAGATGGGGGCGGGGGGCTGGTGAATGTTCAATGTGTAACCCTGTCTGTCTGTCCCTGTCTCCACCCCCATCTCTCCCTGGCTCCCCCCCCCCCCGCCCCCCCAGGTGTCTCACTACATCATTAACAGCCTGCCGGGCCGGCTGAAGATTGGGGATCAGGAGTTCGAGGGACTCCCAGCGCTGCTGGATTTCTACCGGGTGCATTATCTGGACACCACCACGCTAGTGGTGCCCGTGTGCCGGGGCCCCGCGGTGCCCGGCCCGGCCCCGCCACCCCCCGCCGAGGGGGGAGGGGACCCGGTGGCGCTGCCTGCCGGCCCCGCCCAGCCCTGTGAGTGGGTGCAGGCTCTCTACGACTTCGGCGGCAATGACCAGGAGGACCTGCCTTTCCGCAAGGGGGATCCGCTTCGGGTGCTGGGCAAGCCGGAGGAGCAGTGGTGGACGGCCCAGCGGGTCGACGGGCGGGTGGGCATGATCCCGGTGCCCTATGTCCAGCCCTGGCGCCCCCAGGCCGGCGTCCTGCTGGGGCCCTATGCCCACCCCAGTGTAGGCGGCCCCCCGGCGCCCCTGCCCACCCCCCGCAATGGCCCCGTGGTGGCCAGGGCAGTACAGCGGCGGGTACCCAATGCCTACGACAAGACGGCGCTGGCTTTCGAGGTGAGTGTGTGGGGGACCCAGGAGTCTGGGGGTGACGGGACCTGGATTCCAGGGGACCCAAGTATATGAGGGAATCCGCCCTCAGGATCCTGAGGGTTCCAGACATTCTGGGGGAATGGATACCAGGGACCCCAGCATCCAGCTGGAGGGCGGGCAGAATTAGTCCCTGATTCGGGGGGATCAAGGCAAGGCGGGAGAATTGACCCTGCACCCTAGAGGACCCAGGTGTCTGGGGGCAGGGGGGAAATTAGTCCTTGATTCTGGGGACCCAGGTGTTGGGAGACAGGGGCAGTAGGGGCGACTAGGCCTGCTCCGGAGAGAAATCTGACTCAGTGACCTTTGCCCTCTGACCCCCAGGTGGGTGACATCATCACGGTGACGAAGATGAACATCAACGGGCAGTGGGAGGGGCAGCTGAATGGGCGCAGCGGGCACTTCCCCTTCACCCACGTCCAGATCCTCGAACCCCAGAGCCCGAAGGAGGCCAGCTGAGCCCCACGACCCCTGAACTTCGACCTTGGGCAGCAGGCTGAGCCCCACGACCTTTGAACTGTGACCCCAGGGCAGCCAGCTGAGCCCCGCGATCCCTGAACTCTGACCCCAGGGTGGCTGACTGAGCCCTGTGACCCCTGAACTCCAACCTGGGGCAGTCGACTGAGCCCCACGACCCCTGAAATCTGACCCCAGGGTGGCCGTTTGCGACCCCCTGGTCACCTGAACCTTGGACGGTTGCAATTTGACCCTTCTGTTGATGAACTTTGACCCTTTGTTAGCTCCCTGAACTTTGACCTTTTGATTTGTTGTGGGTTGGTTACAGAGTGTTGAACTTTGACCCTTGGCCCCTTGCCTGTGTACTTCAGCCTTTGGCTCATTGACCTTTGAGCCTTGGCTACTTGAAGAAGACTGTGTGTCATTTGCCTTTGAACCTCACTACATTGAACATGTGACCGTTGAACTCGTAGCCTCTGACCTTTGAGCCCCCTGGTTGTTGGCCCTTGGGCCTCCTCTGGCTCTTTGACCCCTTGACTTTAACCACTATTACTTCCGTGTCGTGACCCCCGACACGCACCCATGGTGTATTTCATGCAGATGCTGTTTGCACATGAATTAATTTGGGGGTGGGGGGATCCTGGTTCTCATTGGACGACTGAGGTCTGGATCCGGGTCCGAATGGCCCTTCCCCGTCTCTGAGGTCTGAAGGCCCCCACGTGTGTGATGCGCCCTGTGTTCCTGCTACATTAAAGCTCCTGGTGATGACTTTGCCTGAACTCAGCTCCTTGGGGGGTGGGGGTGGGGGGGAGCTAGAGCATCGCCATGGTATCCCAGACCTTGGCCATGGGCCAGCTGGGGTCTAGAGCATCACCAGAGTAACTTGGATCCCAGGCTGGGGTCTACAGCGTCACCATGGTAACTTGGATCCCAGCCTGGGGGGGCACAGCTGGGGTCTAGAGCGTCACCAACTTGGATCCCAGCCGGGGGTGGGGGCTAGCTGGGGTCTAGAGCATCACCAACTTGGATCCCAGGCTGGGGGGGGGGGCTAGCTGGGGTCTAGAGCGTCACCATGGTAACTTGGATCCCAGGCGGGGGCTAGCTGGGGTCTAGAGCATCACCATGGTAACTTGGATCCCAGCCTGGGAGGGGCTAGCTGGGGTCTAGAGTGTCACCATGGTAACTTGGATCCCAGCCTGGGGGACGGGCGGGGGGCGAGCTGGGGTCTAGAGCATCACCATGGTAACTTGGATCCCAGCCTGGGGGGGGGCTATCTGGGGTCTAGAGCGTCACCATGGTAACTTGGATCCCAGCCTGGGGGGCGGGGGGCTAGCTGGGGTCTAGAGCATCACTATGGTAACTTGGATCCCAGCTTGGGGGGCAGGGGGCTAACTGAGGTCTTGAGCGTCACCATGGTAACTTGGATCCCAGCCTGGGGGGGCTAGCTGGGGTCTAGCGCGTCACCATGGTAACTTGGATCTGGGGCGGGCGGGGGGCTAACTGGGGTCTAGAGTGTCACCATGGTAACTTGGATCCCAGTCTGGGGAGGACTAGCTGGGGTCTAGAGCAGTGGTTCTTAACCTGGGGTGCACGCACCCCCAGGCAGTGTGAGACATGCCAGATTTTTTTAGAAGGTAAATAATTGAAAACACAAATTAAGCACAGGCACGTAAGCACAACTCCTTTGTTTCATCAAACCTATGTATTTATTAACATTATACATTTTTAATGATTACTGCGTTACGTTTTAACTGCAGAATTAAAATCAATATTTCGTTCTCTCTCTTGCATTCTGTAGTTAGGATATATGTAGGTTGAAAGGACTGACGTACTTCAACGATTTTTGATAAGAGGTGTGAGAACATATTTTTGAGAACCAGGCTGCAGTAAAGATTAAGAACCACTGGTCTAGAGCATCACCATGGTAACTTGGATCCCAGCCTGGGGGGGCCAGCTGGGGTCTAGAAGGTTTCCAGGGAGACCCAGATGGGGCCTGCCCTGGGGCTCATTTGTGCTGGGGGTGACCCCAAGTTCTGACCCCCAACCATGGGGAGGGGACGGAGGTCAGTAGGAGGGAAGAGAGGAGGGGGCTGAGTGGGGGTTGGGGGGACATGGAGAGGAGGGGGGGATTTCACTCCCAGCCCCACCGGCTCCCCCTCCCCCTTCTCATCCCCCCATCACTGGACTTTGAATCCACATTTCCAGGGTCCCAGGCCCCCGCCAGGCGGCTCCTGCCTTTATTGGGGGGGGACACCCCAACCACCCATCTGTTTCCCAGGAGCCAGCGCTGAGGGGGGTGTGGACCAGCCCTGGGGCCAGCCAGGGGCACCAGGAGCTGTAGATTGGGGGGGCAAAGACAAGGTCCAGAGGCCTCCCCAAAGGAGGGAAAGGAGGAGAAGGGGGGGTCTGGGTTTGGGGGGTACACAGAGGACTCAGACATTGGGGGGCTGCAGGGGGCTTTGAGGGGTTCAGGGTCTGGGGGACCAGTGTTGGCGGGGGAAGTGGGAGTGTCTGGGGGGCTGCAAGAGGTGGGGGTGCTGGCTGCTGGGCCCCCCACCCCATGACTCAGCGTTTTGCCCTACTACGAGTGCCTGGGCGTTTCACATTCCCGGGCTGGGGTATTTTTAGCCGCCCCAGCAAAAGGCCAGGGGTCAGGGAAAAGGTTATCCCACCCGTCCCGCCCCCCAGCCCGTTATAGCCCTACGGCCCCTTGGTACCCCAGTCACCCAGCGCTGCCCGGAGCTGCCGTGTGCCACCAGAGACCCGGCCAGACTCCCGCTTCCGGTGAGAGCATGGGGCTGTCGGGGGGGGGGGTGGTTATTGGGGACTGGGGGAGGGGGGCTGGTTGGGAGGCTGGGGGGTTATTGGGAACTTGGGGGTGTCTGGGGGGTTATTGGGGACTCTTGGGTGGGCTGGGGGTATTGGGGACTGGGAGGGTGTCTGGGAAGGGCTGGGGCGTTATTGGGAACTGGATTGGGGGTGTCGGGTGGGTTGGGGGTTATTGGAGATGGGAGGTCTGGTTGGGGTAGGCTGGGGGTTATTGGGAACTGGGGGTTGTCGGGGGTTATTGGAGACTCTTGGGTGGGCTGGGGGTATTGGGGACTGGGGGGTTATTGGGCACTGGGGGGTGTCTGGAGGGTTATTGGGGACTGGGGGTGTCTGTGGTGGGCTGGGGGGTTATTGGGCAGTGGGGGATTTCTGGGGACTGGGGTGGGCTGGGGGGTTATTGGGCACTGGGGGTGTCTGGGGTCTGTTGGGGGGTTATTGGGCAGTGGGGGGTTTCTGGGGACTGGGGGTGTCTGGGGTGGGCTGGGGGGTTATTGGGCACTGGGGGTGTCTGGGGTGGGTTGGGGGGTTATTGGGCATTGGGGGGTTATTGGGGACTGGAGGGTTGGGGTGAGGAGGTGGAAGCAGTAGGGAGGCTGGGCGGTGGGGGGAGGGAAGAGGGGGAGGGGGAGGGACTTGGGCTGGGGGGACGGTGGCAGGGGGGGGAATGACATTTCTAAGGCGGCAGCTGCGCCCTGGGTGGAATGTGGGGGGGGGGGCGGGACGGACTCTCAGGGGGGATCAGGTGCGGGGGGGGGAGGGGCTCCCAGGGATCAGGTCCCCAAGCGACCCCTAGCTGCAGGCTGCACCCTGAGCTGTGCTGGGGGGGCGACTCGCCATGATGATGGGGAAGGGATTTGGGAGGCCCAGGTTGAACACCCAGCCCCCCCCCCCCCCCGCCCTTCCCCACCGGTACGTG